GCCTCCGATTGGGATTTGACAACAGCAGCTCAACATTTTGCTGCCGGTGGCTCAGTCTGCCCCACCAGAGACTCACGCACAGGGAGGTTGGTGGTGGCCGATGATGGAGGGTAGGAGACTTGGTAGGACCCAGGTCATGTCATGGCCCACAACACCGATTACTTTAGGTTTTTTTTCCCATTCCTATGCCATTCCTGTGCCCATATAGGAAGCTTTTTCTGTCCCATATCCTTTTCCAAAAGCAGCAATCAATTGGGATTTGGGAATCTGCCCTCCTGAAATCACCCTTGCTTATTTAACTGTGTTTTTCCCAGCAGTAGGTGGACAGGTTTTACTCCACCAATATTGCAGTTTCTCTAATCCACCCCGAGCAGCAGCATCTTCCTCTTGCCGCATGGACTCGCACGCTTGTTCGTTAGGGCTCGGCGGGCTGACGATGCTGACCCGTCCCCGGAGAGCTGCTGTAACGGAGGGTCAGGCAGAAATAAATGGCTCAGGGTGTGACGTTCCCCACTGCTTGTGTGCCAGCCCTGTGTGATTGTAGGACTGAGACTGTTGGACCTGGTTCGGTTGTGAAGCCGGCAAAGTTAGCTAACGTCTGCCTTCCCTCCGCTCATTTTTTAGCAGAAGTGGAGGATTCAGATTTAATGAGAGCTTATAGGGATGAAGGATTTGGAGTAAGTAACAGCGGGTCAATGTTCCCGCCGTGGGGGTAAATACATGTTTTTACAAAAGGTTTTACTTTTTTTGTTGAAACTTCCTTGCAAATGATCTTAATTCTTCACTTTGTATTGGGGTTGGGAAAAAACTATCACTTTTAAATGTTAAAACTTCATTCATTTTGGGGAAACACAGAATAGAAATAAGAGGCAATTTGAAATGGCTGGAGAATATAAAAGTTTAAGGTGTGATGGTGCTTGTATGTTTTAAGGATACCAGAAAGCAAGTCAGACCTCGTGGTGTTTCCAGCTTTCCTACAGACATCGCAGGAGCCAGCCCTGGTTTTGCCCTCGCCAGGGGGTCGATTCCTGGTACCTCTCGCAGCAAAATAAGAGCAGAAATAAGGTTCCTCGTAACCACGTTGCATTCGACCCCTTTCCTAAAGGATGTGTATGCTGGTGGCTCCCGGATCCCAGCTCGGAGCACCGTGGCAAGAGGTTTTGGAAGGAAATTGCCCATCTCAAGGTCAGCATTGGAGTTTGCACCAGGATTTTTTCCGCGGGCACAGTAGGTGCGAGCGGTGCCCGGGGAATGCACGGCTCCGAATAAAGCACCAACCTCAGCAGCGCATGGCCCGTTGCGATGGGTGCGGGCTGCGAGCCCTGGCTGATAAATGATGCTCATATCCCATTCAAATATGATGCAAGCAGTTTTTTTGTAGTTTGTCTTCCATTGCGGTAGTAAAGTTTTTAATTAGGAAAGCTAATGAGATCGATTAGTCATTAGAACTGACCTCTGGATCTCTGCGAGGAGTGTGCATGTGTGCGCTGGGCTGATAACGGGGGACGCTGGGGTATTGTTTGTAATAAAAGCGTAAAGTGTTTGATTTGAGTGAAATGTGCCACGGGGAATACATCATGTGGAGAAAAAAAATTACAACCCTGGGAGCCTGTAATGAAGGGAATTAAACCAACATCCTGTCTAAATAACATGATTATCTACACAAAACCCCTCAGCTAGCAAGTAATAATAGAAAACTGAGCTCTTCGGAGAGTCTCTTTGAGGAGGTGGTTAATGCTGGAGCCGTGCATGCAGGCACTTTCAGAAGAGCAGCTTTGGCATGAATACACCATCCAATTACCGCCGGGGAATAGAGTTTACCAGGTGCCAACCCATTTGTACGAGGAAGGGGGGGACGCCTGCAAGCCGCAACAATTTGGGACCTTGATTTCTTGTGCGAACGTGAGGCGGGACACGATGTCAGGCAGGAGTTTGATGAGGTTCTGGGTTGATTAGTGGCAACCAGAGCTTGTGCAGGGGCAAAAAAAAAAAGTTAATAATGTTTTCAGCAAATTCCCAGCTTATTAATTTTGTAAGGTCGGAGCGGTGGAGGGAAAGGGTCAACTTCTGCTGTTGCTGTTTGGGGAGGATGTGGGGTTGTGGCTCTCATCCCTTCCCCGATGTGAAAGAGCTGCTTTGGGTACGTGGTTGATGCTATATCCATGAGAGGCTGGATATCTCCACGCCTCCTGGGTGACAAAAGGGTGTCATAGTCACCAGCCCTCACCGTAGCTGGGATTTTGTCGTGTGTGCGCAGTGTTGGGCCATGCAGGGGTTTGCACATCTGTCCTTTCGTTGTTCCCATTCTGGAATCCTAAATACAGTTCTCTGAAGCAAAACGCTCCAACTTTGCCGGTGCTTGTGAGCAATTACAATTGTTATTAGAGCTTCAACCTTGCAAAGGGTTGAAGCTTTAAAAACCCCAGGTGATGCTGCAGTCCTTGCCCTGAAGAATTTAGTCTGATACAAAAAGTCCCAGGACAGGGAAACAGTGATGAAAACCCATTCACTTTCTGTCTTCTTACCTCACCTCTAAAGCAATGGGTATCTGCAATTCCTCTGGTCATCGAATCATCAGATGGTTTGGGCTAGAAGGAACCTTTGAAGATCCAACCCCCTGCCATGGGCATGGACACGTCCCACCAGACCAGGCTGCTCACAGCCCCATCCAACCTGGCCTTGAACACTTCCAGGGATGGGGCAGCCACAGCTTCTCTGGGCAACCTCTGCCACTGCCTCACCACCCTCACCGGGAAGAATTTCTTCCTTATGTGCAATCCAAACCTACCCTCTTTCAGTTTAAAACTGTCACCCCTTGTCCTATTACTACAGGCTCTGGTAAAAAATCTCTCCCCATCTTTATTATCAGCCCCCTGTAGGTACTGGCAGGCTGCTCTAAGGTCTCCCCGGATCCTTCTCTTCTCCAGGCTGAACAACCCCAACTCTCCCAGCCTGTCCTCACAGCAGAGGTGCTCCAGCCCTCGGATCATCTCCGTGGCCTCCTCGGGACTCGCTCCAACAGGTCCATGTCCTTCTTGTGCTGAGGACCCCAGAGCTGAAGGCAGGACTGCAGGGGGG